CCCCAAAACCCCAAAACCCCAAAACCCCGAGACAAGGCCCTTCCATTGCTATATATTATATTTTATAAATGGGAGACTGCCAAAGCTGCTGAAGTAAACCAAAAACTACTGTGGACTTCGCAGAGTAAGAGAGAATTCAATAGTGTATAGAGTTAGAGCTGAGTATAAGACTATTAGAGAAAAAGTGTCATCCCACAAAACAGCCCTGAAAATCTACACAAAACATAAGAATTGGAACTTTAAATAAAAGAATATTCCAGATTTATGACTCTCTAGTTTCTTTAGAGGCTAGATTGGACGCTGTAGATCCTGATAAATTAGGAATTGAAGGTATCTTTAAACTTTGGTTGCAGATGGCTACACATATTGTCAGCCGAAACCCTACCTTCCATCCTACTTCTTTTGCTATAGACTCCAATACCAATTGCATAAAACAGTACAATAGACTTGAGGATAAGCTTGGATTTCTTATTGGATACACACATGAGATACTCCTGAAGGTCGGGAAACAAAATATGATAGACCTGGATAGCTCAGGTAATTTCTATTTTCTGGTATTGCTACCACTGAATCGAAATCTTTGTTGAGGTATTCCAACTAAAAATTTATTGACCAATTACACAAGAATATACCCAAGCGATATGTCCTTTATACATCTCTTGCACTCGGATCGAGTTTCCAATCAAGATATTAAATGTTCAACTCCGAATATATTTGCTATCTATTTTGCAGAGCTTTGCCCTCTCAGAGAAGCATTGAGACTAACTAAACCAAGTGTTTAATCCGCATGAAAATAAATTAGTTTCTCACTTTTGTGATAAAAGGTTCTAACCTTATAAAAATGTGTTCTTGAAGTTCAAGGTTTTCTCCCCCTACAAAGCTAACTTAAGGCTAATAGCTAATACTATTTTAGGGAAGCCAAATAAAGATCAACAAAAAGCTAAAATTTGATTAGAGAAGAATATCCACCAGCAATCTAAAGAGATTGATGTAGGAGTTCTGCTTTCTTTGGAAGACAAAATTCTAGCTCGAAGGTCCAAGATATTCAGCATTGAATTTCCCTCTCTAGATCTGAAAAATGATGAGCATATCAAATTGTTGAAGAATCTGAAGTCTCTGGCTATCCCTAATTTAAATCGCTTATGTGTAATAAATATAAGTTCACAAACCCTCCCTGCTCTAACAAGTTTATTCGAAACTTCATTCTTAAAGAGATTTGGAGCATTATCTCTGAGGTTTGCTAAAGTAATCCCAGCCAATGCGGATAGACTTTTCAAAAATATTTTGGATATCAGCTACCAAGTAAAATCTTGAGTCTTCATCCAGGGTTTAACTATCAAGCAGTCTTTATTGATGAAGCTCCTTTCTTCATGTAAGGATAAGCCGAGGATAATTTTAAGTAAATGCAAGATATCTGTCAAAAAAGTCCCTGACTTTGGCCAATCTATGAATGATAGTATATAATCAGAGTAATAGAATTTCCATTTTGAAAAATAACTGGGACATCTGGAGAGCCAGACTCTATGGAAGGCTTCTCAAATTTAATAGAAGGACTTTCGGAGTCACAGGATTTCAGAGATGCTTTCAAAGGTATGAAGGGCTTCAATTCTTATGATCAAAAGAAAGCAAGAAAAATATTAAAACAACATAGATTTGGCCATATTAAAGTCATGAATTTATAAAATCAGAGGTTTAGTTATTCAACCTGAATATACATAGTGGGGTTTTGGGGTTTTGGGGTTTTGGGGTTTTGGGGTTTTGGGGTTTTGGGG